ATCCCCCTCATCTACAGCACGGCGCTGGAGCGCGCGGCAAGCAATGCCGGGCTACAGATCCTTTGGTGCCTCTTGGGGGGGCTGGTCGGACTCGCCGTGTCTACGGTCGCCGGTTGGCAGCACAAATGCTATTACTTGCTGAATTTGGTGGGCCTGGCCATCATAACGGTCGGGAACGGGCTGATGATGCTGTGGAACGCGGGCGAGCAACCAGCACTCAAACCTGCCATCCAGGTCATCACGGGCTTTGGGCTCGGTCTGTGCATCCAGCAGATGCTGCTCGCCGCGCAGGACGGGGTACCGACGACGGATATAGCCACTGTCACGACACTCGTCGACTACGCTCGCACTTTTGGCGGTATGATCGGGCTCGTCGTCGGCCTGTCCATACTGCGCACCTGGGTCTCCCACCGGGTCATCCCAATACTCAAAGGGATCCCCCTCTTCAGCCTTACCACTGGCGGCAATGACTTGATGAGCATTGATATTACGGAGATAGGCCCGCATATCCCTGTGCTCCGCAAGGCCTTCCCTTCGATTGTGAGCGCTGCGATCAACGAGGCATTCCGCGGCTTCCACGTATTATTCATCCTCAATGCAATATACGCCTTCACTGCACTGGCTTTTTTTGTTTTTGTTAGGCAGCTCCCCGCAAGGTCCCTATGATTGGAAGGCACATCTCTCCTCGCCCCCCTCCACCCTCGCTCTACACACACTGCTCCTGCTCCTGCTATCACCACCGTCACCCGGTCTGTCCGCTGTGTACTCATACAATTTGGCTCAATTCCGCCCCGCGCAGAGCTCTCCCCCTCCGGCTGCTCTTTTAATACCGCAGGAAAGTCAAATCGCAACGGCAGTGACCGCAGAAAAGCACGGGCACCTCTGTGGTGGCCATGGATGCCAGCTCAACCCCGCATCCACCCACGTCTAGTACTATCGCTAACTGGTGCATGGATGTGTATAATATACATATATTTACATATATTTAAGTGACGCTAAAATGACAATTGAGAAGAAGGTGTAGGGCTGCGGGATTTGTGTGTGCATGTACCTGCAGTGGTGGGCCCTGGTCATGCCCCGTCAGCCGCCGAGACAGGCCCAGTGGGTAGGGAAGAGCTGGAAGCAAACGAGCGCAGGCGGTCGAGGCATGGCATCGGGCCCTCAGGGGCAATGTCCTTGGTGACACTGTGGATCGCATCGGCCCATTTGGCCGCCGTCAAGTGGGTGAGGCGCGGGTCGTCGGGTCTCTTGGCGAGGTTATCCAGCTGGCCGTAGAGGTTCGGATCGAAGAGCAGCTCGTAGAGCCTCACCGCCAGGCTGGACAACGCATCCGGGCACCGCTTGAGATCCATTTCCCTCATGTAGGTGTTTTGGCTCTCCAGCCACACCTTGCGTTTATCGAGAAGGCAGCTCAATTCAGAGCTGCCATCCCACATGCCCTTACACCACTGTGAAGCCCTATTGCCGTATTTCAGGCAAAGGCAGTGGCTGTAGACAAGGAATACCGATTCCAAGTCATCGACATACGAGTGTTTATCTTGCTGGCAGAGTGTCCGGACGCTCATGTATGGCGTGGTGCCAGTAACCGACTGGCCTAAAGGGGGCGGCGACCCATCATGGCTGCTTGGGTACGCGATGCCGCACCCCCAGTCGATAACACGCGGCTTGTCGTTGGCAACCAGGAGGTTCGCCATCGAAATGTCGCGGTGCATGACCGATGTTCCCCCGATTCCAGCGGTGCCCTCCAAGATGAGGTCGATATAGCCGGCGAATACGTCGATTAATTTGTGGATGCTCTCCGGACGCATAAAGTAATACCCAATATTTATGCCGGCATCCTCGATCAGCAACACCTCCCCACGGAGGTCGCTGTTATTTTTTATGATACCTGCAAAGCGCAGCTGGGGCACATATGGTAGCCCCAGCTGGAGCACCTTGCGGTGTGCCCGGATCTCCGAGGCACCTTCACCGCGGCACCAGTGGATCTTGAGAACCGCGAGCATGATATTGTTGTTGCCACTGCTGTGTACCACTGCGGCCTCGTATATCCACGAGCGCGACCCAAAGAGTTGCCCCCGTCGGCCACCTATAGGGCAGTCGTTTAACAGCTAGAACATTGCATCCCAATCATCACTGTGGTTAGTATTGACAGAGGTGAGGCTGCAGGTCACGGAGGCAGGAAGTTTCACACAGACTGTCTAGGCTTACCTTAATTGTTGCATTTTGATAATCGTTTTCATCGATCTCGACAGAAGCGAGGGGCAAGTCACGGAGGCGGATATCTTCGGAAAGGCCTTCAGGGCCCTGTGCAAGGTAGCCGCGGTCTTGCCCGAGTTGCTTGTAAAGCAACTGCAAAAAGCACATGACAGCGCGTCCCTCATTGCTATGTGCAGGCCGGGGCGGCTTCTGACCACTCGTGGTGCCAGCGCTGGCAAGGCGCGGGAGTTTGCCGACAAACGAATAGTATATTCTATCTATTGTGCAAAGATGCACATAGACATCGCCTTGTGCGACCACTGACATGCCGAGCATGAAACGGCGTGGCTGGCTTGCAGCCACATTGGTGAAGTCTTGGATGAGTTGGCCTATTAGGACCGAGTCATCGCGCTGGGCTCTCGAGCCCTTGAACTCACACACGGCGACAACGTCTCGCCACGCCAACTTGCCTGCTGGAGCGTCAGCCCGTGCGAAAATGCCATCGGGCTTGCGCCTATTTTCGAGGCTGGTCTTGTGGGTATCCACCCATTTTAGACCAGCCCGCGCACCATTGCCCACTAGCTGCACTTCGACGGCTTTCACCAGGTCGCCGAATACGCGCTGGTGGGTCTTCTCCGTCCACGGCTCTCCAGGAGAGCTGGGCTTGGGGACTTGGGCCAGTATCCGGTCCAGGTCTTCCTGTGTCGTCCGTCCATATATTTCCATCCACTCCTCAAACCAGTCGTTTCCGAGCATCTCGAGGAGCCCGTAGAGCTGGAAATGTACCAGCCTGTCCCTCCAGCGGGTTGCAAGTCTCCTGTATAGCGCGGCATCGTAGTAGCTCGGCATCAGGGCCGCCTTCCTCGGCCTGACCTCTATATATGCATAACAACCCATTTGGCCATAAGCTTGTTGCCACTGCGTGATGGGTGTCGGCGCAACACAGCCCGCAAATTCTTACCGATTGCAGATCCACTATTCACGCTTTGGGCCTCCGAGGGGCTGTCTGCAAGGGACATTGTAGTTAGCTGCTCCGCCAGCTGTAGGCAAACAGGCAAAAAGGAAATGGGTCCTGTCAGTCCCGATGGCCGGCATGCCTGTGCAGTGCGTGGCATATACAATGCAGGGTACATACGGAGTAGGTTGACGTCGGGAAGTCTGGCGGGGACATCCACGCAGTCCCGCGCGAGGCAGACAGGGGGGTGCGTTGTTGTGCGACAATTGACTCTCGGAGCAAGTTGAGGGTCTCATCCTGCTTCTCGAGCCTCAGCTCCAGCCGCTCGCCTAGCTTCTCGACAGCCTGGAGCGTTCTGTCCTGCCGCTCGCCCAGCTTCTCGACAGCCTGGAGCGTTCTGTCCTGCCGCTCGCCTAGCTTCTCGACAGCCTGGAGCGTTCTGTCCTGCCGCTCGCCCATTGCCTTCTGCGACTCGGCCAGGTTCTCGATGGCCTGGAGCATGCGGCTCAACAGAACATCGGTAGTGGCCGTGGAGGTGGGATGGTTGGGAGTGGTCTGCATCTTTGGCGAGGTAAAGCAAATAATATGAAAAAGCGCTGGGCGGATCGGGAGGAGAAGCAAGGAAAGAGTGGCCGTAGTTTGGTTATAATAGTTAAAGAAAGAGAGAGAGAGTAAACAAGTTCATTAGACAGTGTAGTTTGTGAAGTAAACAAAATCCAAAACCACACACTGCCATTTTGCCCTGCATGGGCTGCTCTCATGTATGAAGCGGCTGCCTCAAACTCTACACCTGCCAGCTCCCCGCGCTTTACCGTCTCCCCCTTGCAGCAGCATGCCAAAGTGGCAAGCATTCCCCTCCCTATCTCTGGCAGGGCCTCCTGCTCTGCTGTGGAAGTGGCAGCAGGAAGGACTTTTCCCACATAAGGCTATAGGGCCAGAGCAGCTGGCCACACAGCACCCACTGGGAGTGGCTGTGACACCAGGATCGCTACCTCATGATGAGGCACTGCCATGCAGGCCTTCATATTTGAAAATTGTGACACTCCCTGAGGGCAGCCATGCCAAGTAGAATGGGAGTATCTAGTGGTTGAAGCTGCACCCATTGATGAATCCATCCAGCCGCACATTTCCACTGCAGTATGAGTGCATTCTGTGACTCTGAACTCTCAGGATTGGGTGATACTGACTGTACTGGTGCCACTATTTATTAGATAGGAGCTAGCTGATATGTCCTCATCCTTTACACTATTAAATGTCTAGCAAGGGATGGCAAAAGTCTTGGGGGGAGGGAAAGGTATTCCTTCCTCCTTGGCCTGAAAGTCCTTGTGAAGAGCTCCTAACATAAACCCCCCTAGCGCTGTTTCACGTGGCCCTGGGGTCGCTACACTGGGGGGAAGACGCACCTGCCCTATCTTCTCCCCGCCCCTGCACGAATACATGCTAGAAAAAAAGAGAGGAGGGTGGAAGGTCTGAAACCTCATTACACATAGCACTTCATTGTGGCAAGCCCGAGGCCTAAAGCCCACTGGGCAATCCCAATGTGAGGGCCCGGGTGTGGATAGGATGTGTTTGTTAATAGGAAGAAAAAACTCAACTAAGAAAGCTGGTCGAATCTGGCCAGACATATGAAAAAGGATATTGCACCTTGCGGCCCCGCATTGGCTGCTGGTAAAAGAGGTGCTTGATGGGCTCCGCCAGTATGGAAAATGCACACAATAAATGCAGTCGAATTGTGTGGTACGTAAACTACTACAGACACAATTTCTCCGCCCATAACACTGCCAAGGCCTTTGCCCGCAGAGAATTCGTGCCCCAGAGCTGTTATTATCTGGTTGACATGCTCACTTTTGGTGAGATGGCCGAGTGGTCTAAGGCGCTAGGTTTAGGCCCTAGTAGGTAACCCCTGCGTGGGTTCGAATCCCACTCTCATCATTATTTAAAATGGCCCAGCTGGTGGCAGGTATCCTGCCTAGACAAGCCCCTCTTGGTGGCGGACCGAGCCATAATAGTCGCCTCCCATTAAGGGAAATAAACACGACTTCATCATCTGTTATTATCTGGTTGACAAAGTCCATGGACAGACTACCAATCCATAGCAAGGTAAAGGCACTGATCCATGACCTGCACATAGGCAGAGAGATCA